TCTTGAGAGTGGACAAGTGGGCTATCGCGTGCAGAAGCAGGAGTGTGGTTATCGTCAGCCAGTCGCAGAGACAGAAAGCAGTAGTACAGATGGATGTCTTCAAGCTGACTACCATTATTAAACGTACTCGGGTTGTATCTCTTCATTATCAATGTGTGGCCTTAACTGGATGATAAGCGGTGGTCCCAGCAGACGTTTGTCTCGTTTGGCAGGTAGGCCACACATGCGACCAAGTGCTGGTGATTGGATGATTTGTAGTCGATAATCCATATCTGGTAAACTTCTAGCCAAGTTTTTAACAGGCCGTCAAAGAAAGTGACTGAAAGTGATTCAAAGAATTCTGAAGACGAGATACAATTCTGCGGTGGCGCAGCCGGGGAGCGTCGGATCGAATCGTGGGTTAATTCGTTTTTGACCTCGGTGAATTCCAGAGTACGGTCATAAGGTCGGAATCGACGGCTTGGTTGGATAGAGACAGCACCTTCAGGTTGCGTCGGCTCCGAAGCGATTTTATCCAGGTGACTCATATGTCCGTACTCGGTCTTTTCAGGATCAGTACCGATTTTAACACACTTTTGATGATTTTCGGAGATATGAAGCGGGGGTGGATATGAGTCACATTGTTTGTTGGTGCTTGGCCGAAACTGTGGATGATCCCCACCTTTGTTCAACAATTGTTCAAGGTGTATTGTTCAATAGAGCATGTTGTCTATGGTGTAGGATTTGCGGCGCGACGGATGACAGTTGCGTCCAGGGATCAGGCGCACCCACAATCGTGTTTGTAAAAATCCATAACTCTGTTTTCTATGCGTGAGGCCTAATTCTGATCCAAACCAAATACTGTCAACTAAAAAGTGTTTCAAGTGCTGTGCCTCATAGACACATTTTCTATCTGATCTTCATTTCACATCAAATCTATTGTAGTGCATGTGATGGAACTGCGGCGGGTGTTCCCATCGTCTGTGTCAAACACGTTTTCGAGGGTCGCACAAGATTTCGAGATAAATAGCACTGTTTTCGACCGAGAGCATGCTTCTTTCGCTGATCGCTTGTGTTGCTGCCAAGACAGTCTACTTTATTCGCCACGGTGAAGATGATCCAAATGGAGATGGCCTGTCAACACTCGGTGTGAAGCGATCTCAGTGCATCGCCACAAGTGTCTTTGCTGGCAAGAACCCACAGTACCCAAGTCCAGAGCGTATCATTGTGCAAGGACCAGGTCACTCTACGCGTGCCAGAGACACTGGCAGACCACTTGCCAAAGCCTTGGGTGTGAGTTTGGAAGATGACTGTGACAGAGATGATGTCCAATGTGTTGTGGATCTCATCAGCAAGGACAATGTCTCTCCAGTATTAGTGATCTGGCAACACAAGATCATGCCAGACATTGTTGGTGAATTTGTGTCTGATGCACCATCGTACCCAAAGAAGCGATATGATCTTGTCTGGACTGTCGATACCGAATCAGGCGATCTCAGAGAGACCAAGGAAGATTGCAACTCGTTTTCGCGTCGCAGATAGACAATAAAGCTTCATTGTTTTGCAAAGAACTCCATAAAATCAGCCAAGGCTTGTACAGACTCCATCTCAAGAGCATTGTACAGAGATGCTCTGATGCCACCAACAGATCGATGTCCTTTCAGCTGGATCATACCACGCTCTTCAGCACCTTTGAGGAACTGTTTTTCGAGATCTTGATTTGGTTGTCCATCTTTGATGACTCTGAATGGCACATTCATTCTGGATCTTCTGGTTTTGACTGGCAAACTGTAGACAGATGGATACTTGAGAATGGTGTCATAGATGAGCTTTGACTTTTTGTCGCTGTATTGCTCCATGGCTTGAACACCGCCCAATCCAAGAACGTGCTTGAAAACTAGGCCAGAGACATAGATGGCAAAGGTTGGTGGTGTGTTGTAGAGCGAGTTGTTGTCGTTGCATGTCTTGTAATCAAGCATGATGGGCACTTTGAAGGGGGATTTTGCAGGATCACGGATCAGATCTTCACGCACAATCACAATCGTAACACCTGCCGGACCAATGTTCTTTTGAGCACCGCCGTAGATGACACCGTACTTGGACACATCAAACTGGCGAGACAAGAGGTTGGAAGACATGTCACAGACAATCGGGACATTCTTTGGCAGCTGGTTCACAAATGCAGTCTCCATCTCCACACCATGCACTGTTTCATTGTCACAGTAGTAGATGTAAGATGGATTGGGAGAGAACTTGAGCTCTGGCAAGATGCCATCGTGATTTGGCTTAGTGGTTGCAACAACGTTGACTTGCACACCCAGTCTTTTTGCTTCTTGACTTGCTTTGTCACTCCAAGTGCCGCTGACAATGTAATCCACAGGTTTGTCCAGTGAGTCGACAAGATTGTAGACAATGGTTGCAAACTGTGTTGTAGCACCACCCTGCATGAACAGAATGCGGTAGTTGGATGGAATATTGAGTAATTTTCTCAAATCATCCTGTGCTTCTTGGTTGATGCGTTCAAAATGTGGAGAGCGATGTGAGAGTTCCATGACAGAGCATCCAGAGTCTTGGTACTCTACAAGCTCTTGTTGTACTTGCAAGAGCACTGTTTTAGGCAGCACAGCAGGTCCAGCTGAAAAGTTGTGGATTTTCATCTGGAGATGAAGAACTTGTGGCAAGATTTCAAGTGTTTGCATGCACATCGTCATGGCAGATCTTGCAACATAGCAACTGATGGATCATGGATGCCTTGCCTCTGTTCGACTGTCACATGCAATAGAATCTGTGCGGGATCTGCTAAATTACTTTAATTTTCAGTACAGTTGTTGTATTTTCACTCCTATTTTTGTGTTGGTGTCATATTGGTCATCTTTGTTGTCTGTCCTCTGAGTCTCTGCTCGTGTGACATCTCCACTCAGACTGCGGTCATCTGTAAGCATCTCTGTCGACTGCATCAAAAGGCTAGTGCTGGTCGCACTCTTTGCATTGCAGATTCTTGGATATCGTGTGTATCAGATTTGGCAAGAGCTTTGGCTCCTGGTTGATTTGAAATGTCTGGTGCTCTGCATCTGGCAGCAATCCATGCACTAATGGGTCATTCTCTGTCGGAGATGGGAGCAGGCTGTTTTCTGTTGCATTCGAAGCAATTCTTGGGATATAGTGTCCATCTAGGTTCGCAACGTACAAATTTTCAGATTTGAGGTTCCTTGGAAGTAACTGAGCTTGCTTTTCCATTACAGAAAGTGACTCCGTGACTCAAAACGCCAAAAGATCGGGTCCACCCTCTGATTCAAGCGTGACGCACTCTTAAAATCGCATCTGCTGAAATGGGAGTTTCTGATGCTTTCAAGAATGTCTGTTCAGAAGCCTCAGAGACTTCCGAAAACAGCCGGTTATAGGACTATGCACCTTTACAAGGTAATTGAGTGGTCCTGCAGCTTTGTTGTTTTACTGGTGACAGTACAATTGCAGAACGCGTTCTCGGAGTCATTGGAAGCGTGCCTAATCGATCTGGACACTCGATCTCTCACTGTCCATCTGATCTGAGAAGAGCCTCAGATGTCAGAAGAGCGGCAGATGTGAGAAAAGCATCACACCTCAGAAATCTGCAGATTGGAGAGAGCAACAACAGATGGACATTCATTTGATAAACATCTTCAAGTACTTTTGCAAGCCAAACTTGTGCTCATTCTTTTTGTGCTTGGGATCAGACATCTTTCGTGGCGGTTTGTCAGAAATGTTGATTGGCGGCTTTTCCAACATCTCTGGAATGGAATCCAACTTTTTAGGACTGGCAATCCATTCATGCAACTCTGTTGACTTTTTGAGGTCTCCGTGGCACAAAATGTCATTGGCATCTGGGTCGTAATGCGTGGAGGCAGAAGACGACTCTCTCGTGACAAGTGCTGGCATCTGAGGAGTAGAGCGCATCCAATCGTCAAGACGAGAGTAGAAGGATGCGGATTTGGTCAGGTTCCCAGGCGTTCGAACACGCCAATCTTCAAATCGCTGATAAAAGGACTCGGTTCTGTTCATGTAGCCTGGCTTCATGGATTTCCATTCTTCAAAGCGATGATAGAAGGAATCAGTCTTAACCAATGGGCTCTGGAATGGAGATGGTGCATGTACAGGAACCTCCATCTCTTCTGGCTCAGCAGTCAGTACAATCTGATCTGGCTCAGCAGTCAATACAATCTCTTCAGTCTCAGCAACATGTGGTTCCTCTTCGATTTCCACTTGTGTCGATGTCACAGAGAGCGTCTCAGAGGTCATGGGAGTGGCACTGCGTTGCTTCCAGAGTTCAAGATACTCGGTGCCGTCCTGCGGCTCAGGAGGTCGGTTGAACAAGACCGCATGCAACGAATCATCAACGTCCACGGCTTCGTCTTCGACCATTGGCTCCGACAAAGTGGCTTGAGATCGATATACATCATCCAAGAGAGGCACAATCATAGGGAGATAGTTGAGCTCCATAGATCTAGTGCTTTAGGGTTGGATTTAAGCTGATATCTATTCTGGGAACCGTCTCTCCACGATCACGTATCCCCCCAACAACCAGATCACTTTCCACGACAAGAGGTGGGTTTATTGTCTGCCAAAGAGTCTCAGCTTATGCCAAAAGGAGAAAAAGCGGAGAGCACTCCGACGATCGTCGACCATAAACGACACTCGCTTCTCCAACTTGCGTCTTTTGTCGGGTTCCTCTGTCAACGTGGATTCTGATGCCCATTCTCTGAGGATGCTCTTTGGCAATGAATTGGATCTAACTGGTGGATTGGTTGCTGCGCATCTTTCGTGATGCAGTATCTGCAGATCCAATGACAAGTCTTCTGTAGGTCCGATCTCTCTCTTCTTCTTTGCTGGCTGTACGAGTTGGAAATCTTGCATCGCAGATCAAAGGCCGTGGAGCGCTTTTATCAAGTCATCTATTATTGTCAATCTTGACAGGGGGATGTCTCCACAGCATGGGGTGGAGACTGACTGGCCAGCACACCAGCAAAAATCAAAAACATACACTTTGGAGCAGCAGGGGATTGAACCCTGGGCCTATCGCATGCGAAGCGATCGCTCTACCACTGAGCTACAACCCCTCCAAAAAATTTTGATTCTTGGGTTTGTGAACCAGTTTTTGACTTGAACCAGATCAGATCTCTGTTGATTTGGATCTCAGCGTGTCTGTCCAAGTGCTGATCATTTGGCAAGATCTGGTCTGAAATCGATTACAAACACTTTATCTATGCCCATAGAGCACTGTAAGAACCACGCAAGTTCAACTGCAATGGCCCACCTGCAGCAAAGAGTCCACGACCACACGGACTGTACTTGCACGTATAAATGGCATTTTTCACATCGATTCCCTGGAAATGTGTCATGTAGATTGTATCCTGCTTGAGCCATCCCTTGCCAGCATCCAGCGTGGATTGTCTGTACATGGTTTGAAGATTGGCATCTTTGACAGCTGGCTCCAAGTTGGTGTCCCAGTGCAAGTACTTTTGCTGGCGTAGATCGTAGAAAGAGAGTCTACCAAGACCACCACCAACAGTCACAACGCCATGGCTAATGTCGAGAGATCTGACACCCCATCCATCATCGAGAGAGTCAAAGATGTGTACAATAGAGCCAATTCTATAATCTAAGAGAGAGACATGACTCTGTGAGCCAACAGCTACAACATGATGCGTCTGATCAAGAGCCATACACACAGTTTCGTTGGTGTGGACAAGAGGCACACGTCGCACACCTTGTCCTAGTGGACGATTGCAATCCCATATTTTTACAGTGCCATCCGCAGAGAGTGTGTAGATTTGTCCAAGTTTCTTGTCGAGAATCAAATCACGCACTTTGTCGCGGTGTTCTACTCTAGAGTCTGCAGGACTAATGACTGGGATATCAAACAAGCCAGTAGGTTCAAGACTAGGGACTTTCCACATTTTGACGTGTCTGTCACGAGAACCAGAAACAAGCGTGTTGTTGTCGACCCACTGGACAGAAAAGACCATGTCAGTGTGACCGCTGAGCATGGCAATGAGTTCAAAGGAGGGGAGACTGTAGATTTGGATGTTCTCTGAACAGTCACCATAACCAACCGCGAGCAAAGTCTTGTTGTCATTAATAGCTAGAGAGTGAATACCAGAACACTGTTGTTCCAGATAGCCAGATCTTGGCGCCGAAATCACAGTCTGAGGTGTATGAGATGTCGGAATCACGACTTTTTTGCCATTCTTGGTGTTGAGAACGACGATTTGGTTGCATTTGGTTCCATAGACAACGTTGGTATCTGAAAGCCAAGCAGCCGTGAAGACTTTGTCCAAGCCAGTGGTGTCAAACTCGACTTCGCGAAAGCTTTCAGGGTTCTTTCTGTGCAAGAGACCAGCCAGATGAGATTTCTTGGTCGTCATATTATGGCAGATGCAAAAAGACGTGTTTGGACGGACATCTGGTTTCACCCAGCCAATAACTTTTTGGATGGGAGAGGTGGGTGTTGGGAGGTAGGAAGATGAGGAGCATTCTGGACAAGACATTAGCGTCTGTCTGTGACCACCATTAAGCTCACGTTGTTGGAGAAACTGATAAACAGAGCCTTTTTCCTTTTCAGACTTTTCAAGCTTGAGAGGGGGGTAGACCCATCTGTCTAGCTGACTCTTGTTGAAAGCTTTCATGATGGACATCAGCTGAGTTTGTAAAGATTGGCGCGTCCAGCGGATGAACTGTCACCCATTTCCAAGTCTTTGAGATTGTTGATACAAGTGCATCAGAGTGCATTTCAGACACTCTGAAGATGGGACTTTAGACATTCAGTTGAAAATCAGATTTTGGTGATTGCCACTTCGCGCTTTTCTCATAAAATGAGCTCCTTGGATGATCAGTCCAGCGAAGGGTACATGAAATCAGACTAGTGACTTTGCACCAGACGCAACATCAGAGTCAGAACCAGAACCAATGGACGACGACTTTTCAGTTGACCCAGACCTCTATCCAGCCAGTCGATCAGCAAGAGGGAATAGGTCCAATTTTGTATTTTTTCTAACTTGAGATTGTGGAATCGAGCGACGAGGAAGTGAAACCAAAAAAGAAGAAGCAACCAAGTATTTTAACTCATTTTCGCAGTGTCAGATTCAGATGTATCCATGTCTATGGAAGAAGAGTCGAGTGAGTACTTTTCGTCAGAGTCTGAGAAGCCAAAGAAGAAGAAACAAAAGAATGTGCAGGATTCAGTGCGATTCTCTAATCGCAATCGTGGTGCTCGGGATTACTCTGAATGGGGCCAGGATTCGTCAGAGTCAGAAGAGGAAGAGGAGAAGGAAAAGAAGAGATACAAGACAGTGCAAGCAGAGTACGACATTGGTATAACGTATGATCCAAGAGGAAGGACCCGTGATTGATACAGTCTGCGACAGGCGATTGAAAGGTTTTCAGTTTCACATGAGATGAATATGAATATCTGATCCACTGGAGAGGACAAGCACACAGAAAGAACACTTGGGCTACATTGGATGAATTGAGAGACATCAAGGGCTTCCGCAAAGTGGAGAACTTTAGAAGAAAGGCTGATGAAGAGGACAGAATCAAATCTGATCCCTCTTACTCACCAGATGAGATTGAGCAGCTTGTTATCAAACAGGAACTAGAGCGCTCGCTGTTGGAAGAGTACAAGATCATTGAACGTGTGATTTCAACACGAGAAGTCGATCAAGGCTATAATGGCAACCAAGAGGGCGGCACAGAGTATCTGTGTCTGTGGAAGGGGCTCTCTTATGCAGACTGCACTTGGGAACCTGCCAACCAACTGCTTCCAGAAGACCAGATCGAAGTCGACAGATTCCTGGAACGCAACAGCAGTCCATTCATGTCACACAGAAGCACAACGTTTGTGCGTTCGAGATCAGAATACAAACCGTTCCAAAAACAGCCAGATTACATGACTGGTGGTGAACTGCGAGACTACCAGCTCTTGGGTGTCAATTGGATGGCTCATTTGTGGCACAAGAACCAAAACGGCATTCTTGCTGATGAAATGGTAGTTTCTTTGATTCCAGGGTCTTGGCAAGACCATCCAAACCATTTCTTTCTTGTCTTACTTGTTCCACTCTCAGGACGTCTATGGACCCTTTCTTGTTGTCGTGCCATTGTCAACGATTGGATCCTGGGTACGAGAGTTCCAGCAATGGGCTCCAGACATGAATGTGATCTGTTACCAAGGAGACACGACTTCAAGAGAACTCATTCGACAGTATGAATTCTATGTCGATAGCAAACTCAAGTTCAACGTGCTCTTGACAACGTATGAGCTCATTCTCAAGGACAAGGATTCACTCGGAAGCATCAAATGGGCATTTCTTGCAGTAGACGAAGCACACAGACTCAAGAATGCTGGATCGCAGTTGCATGAAGCACTCAAAGACTTTTACACCGTCAATCGACTCTTGATTACAGGAACACCTCTCCAAAACACTGTCAAAGAGCTTGTGTCTCTAGTGCAGTTCCTAATGCCAGACAGATTTAAAGAGTTTGAAGCGTTTGAGATCAATCTGGGAGAGCGAGATCCAGATGCTGAACTAGATCCAGAAGAAGCAGAAAGGATACGCGAACAGGAACACAAGATTACTGAATTGCAGTCACAACTGAAAGGGTTGATGCTTCGTCGTTTGAAGAGAGATGTTGAAAAGTCTCTTCCATCCAAGACAGAACGCATTCTAAGAGTGGAACTGTCTCCGATGCAGCTTGATTACTACAAGGCAGTGTACTCCAAGAACGTAGAGACATTGATCAAGTCTGGCAGAAGTGGCAGTAGAATCAGTCTGCAGAACATTGCCATGGAACTCAAAAAGGCAAGTAATCATCCATATTTGTTTGAAGGTGCTGAACAGAATGGCTCCAGAGAAGAACTCATGCGTGGTGTGATCATGAATTCTGGCAAGATGGTGCTCTTGGACAAACTCTTGGTCAGACTCAAGGAAGATGGTCATCGTGTGTTGATCTTTTCACAAATGGTCAGAATGTTGGATATTCTAGCAGATTACCTCGTATTTCGTGGCTATCAGTTCCAAAGACTGGATGGCACAACTTCATCTGAACTCAGAAGACGCAGCATGGATCAGTTTAATGCACCTGGCTCTCTTGATTTCATCTTCTTGCTCTCTACAAGAGCTGGTGGTCTCGGATTGAACCTTGCTACTGCAGATACTGTCATTCTCTTTGATTCTGATTGGAATCCACAAAATGGTATCAAGTTTGATTGTAGATCTTCAAGCGATTGCGAGAGCACACAGAATCGGTGCATATACTAACAACAGGACAAAAGAACACCGTGAATGTCTACAGATTCATCTCCAAAGACACGATTGAGGAAGACATTATCGAACGTGCAAAACGCAAGATGGTACTCGAGTACTCGATCATCAAAACCATGGATACATCTGGAGCAAGCATCATGAAGAAGAAAAAGGACAACAACATCGTGTCGAATGACGAACTGCAGGATGTGCTCAAGTTTGGTGCCACAAAGCTCTTTAAGCGACCAGAGGGACAGGATACCAACCAACTGGAACAGCTGAATCTGGATGATGTTCTAGCAAGAGCAGAGTTCCACGAAGGTGCCGAGCAGTCTGGAACAGCATTGGGATCTACAGAGTTTTTGGAGCAATTCAATGTTGCGGATGTGTCAGTGAACCAGCTGACGTGGGAGGAAATTATACCAGAGAGTCTCAGACAATCCTCCACCGAGACCATTGACCTACCAGAGGAACTGATCCTAGAGGGTGGTTTGCGCAGGAGAACGGCTGAAAAGATCAATTACACCGTCAACGAACCCACAAGTGTCAAGAAACGCAAGAAACCAGCACAGCGCAGAAAGACTGACGACAACCAGATCAGTGACAAAGAAACGAGAGCCTTGATTCGCTCACTGTTAAAGTTTGGTGGATTGGAAGAGCGATATGAAAAGATAATTGAAGACTGTGATCTTGGACACAAGGAAAAAGAAGTGATTCTGAAACTGTACCATGATCTGATGACACTCTGCAAAAAAGCAGATGCGGAGAACGACAAAAAGGCGACCGTGTCTTTTAATGGCATCAACAACATCAACGCG